GTCGCTCCATGGCTGGCCGGTGACTTCATTCAAGTCACTGAAACCCTAAACCCTAAACCCTAAACCCCTAAAGCCCTATACCCCTAAACCCTAAACCCTAAACCCTAAACCCTAAACCCAAAGCCCTAAGCAGCACCCTCCTTCTTGTTTGAAGGGTCAAGCAGCTGGCAGTTATTGAAACCAGAAAATCAGGAAACACCCACCTGGGTGGTTGTCAAAAGTAGGGTCCCTGTTTTGGGTACCCTAAATATGGGGTGCCGTATTATATTACGGACCCAAAAAGGGACCATAATTTTGACAACCACCCACCTGTGAACGTAGCCCTTACGTGAAGTGAAGGGATCACGACCTAAGCTGAAATCTGATCCCAAATCGACCAAACACCCTGCCCGAAGCTTGATATAGATGGTAGAATTTTCAAGCCCCAAAGCCAAAACACCCTAAACCCGTGTCCCTAAACCCTGATCGCTATAGATATAGCACCTCACTCAACCTAAACCATCCTAAACCCTATAATCCGAGAACCCTACTGTAAACCCGAGACCCTAAACCCTATAATCCCAGTGACAATCCCAATTCCGAAATGAACTCAGCTCTCGCGACCTCGGGGCCAAGGGATAACCGCCTCAGGGTCGCTGTGCCTGACGGCATCTTTAGGGTTTAGGGTTTGGGGGTTGGGGTTTAGGGTTTAGGGTTTAGGGTTTAGGGTTTAGGGTTTAGGGTTTGGGGTTTAGGGTTTAGAGATCTAACCCCAAGGGTCCAGGTACCCAAATAGCATAGACTTTGGCCTTGAAGTACTCTCTCCCTCTCTCGACAGGCACTGTGGGGCCGAAGTCTACTATTCTATTTGGGTACATGGACCCTTGGGGTAATAATAAGGTCGCAGTAGGGTTTCGAGATTTCGAGAAGGGATATCACGGTGGATTTAGGGACTTCATGTTGGGGCTGTGAAACTTGGAGTTCTGAGGGGGTTTTTGTGGTGCCCCCAGGAATTTGGGGCCACGGGCACAAGGTTTATAGGGCTTTAGAACTTTGCGACTTTAGGAGTCAGGGTTGAAGCTATGGGGTTTAGGGTTTAGGGTTTACGGGGTTGAGGGAATTAGGGCCAACGCCTAAAAAGTCCAAACTTTCCAACATAGACCAACTATCTCAGAACAGAAAGCCTAAACCCTAAACCCGAAACCCCTAAAACCTAAACCCTAAACCCCAAACCCCTAAACCTTGAACCCTAAACCCTAAGTCGACGCTGGAATAAGCTCCTTGTGGTTGGCATGCAGACTGTGGTGAGCCAGCTTAGGGTTACAT